TAAAAGGCATTACTGCTTTCACGTGTCGTAACAGCCCATTCTTCTCTTCTCTGGAAGTCACAGAATCCGAAAAGTTTGCAGTGAGCCAGAAATTACTTACTTACTGTATTTCTGAGGCCTGCTACGCAGTAGCTCTGGCTTCCTTAAAACTGAGCTGTCAAAAGCAAAGCCTGCGCCTGCTTTAAGTGGGTAAGTTGATTCCTGGGTACATTAAGGTTTGATTGCACACAAGAGCAGCTGATTTTTTCATATTGTGAACAAATACGTTGACATCAAGAACATGCACTCATTCGATACCTTTTTTGCTTTTAGAATTTAAAGGATGTTTCCCACTGATTACCAGTTAGCATGCTTGTAGCTTTCATGTGGGAGTCATGCTCGATGTGTTAAATGATAAATTCTGGGAATGCAGTGACATTAAAAGTCACATATGGGGCAAGAAACGGAAGAAATACCTTGCAGACATGTGAAACTGGCCGTTGTAATGGACTGTGTGAGAGTTAACCACAAAACTGTTTGTGTCCCTTGTAGGAGGTATGTTTTTTCCACTTTGCTTGACTTTTCACACGGTTTATTCTACTCACTCTTTGCTTTAGGAAAAATTGTCACTAAATGGTACCCCTGCTTATATAAGAGAGGAAGGCTCTTACCCAAGTATCAGCATGGGGTAAGTTGAGAATAACACTGATATCATATATTAGTTACAGCTGTCATGACACTTATTAATACTAAGGCCCTGTCCACATATAAAGCTTCTCACTCACTGCTTTATTAACACCAGCTGGTCTCTCGTGGATATTTCTAGATCTGGTTGCTTAGGTAACCCTCTAATATATTTCACACCCCCTTTTTTGATGTCAATCAACTGTATCCTTCGATCCTACTGGTAGTTCCTTTGGTTGAAGGTAGTTTACCTCGGCTCACTTGGAGTCACTGACAGTTATTTTGTTAGCGTTCAGTGATCTGTGCTGGTCTCTCTTGAGCCCTTATATGCCATCTACTTCCATCGGTTACTGGAACCTAAGGAAGGCAGGCCTTGCTTGATTCCCAGTGAAGATGATTAATTTCCCATGGTACCATTTTATTTGAGCTAGCGAGAGTCATAACTGTTGCATAAGCTACTGTCATGTTTGTTTCAGGTCATGCAGATTAATGCGTCACGCCAAACGCTTTAAGAACGGGAGCTACTCTTCAGTTTCCTTTACTAACAGATTTCTACACAATGGCAGCTTAAGTTCCAACTTTTTAACTTCTTTTCAGTGTCTGACTGTGACAATGTCATACTAACAAATACTCAGTGGCTTCACTTGTGTCAGCTAATCAAGACACCACGGCTGAAACGTGTCCGTTACACGGTTTGCAAGACTACTTGTGATTCTGTTTGGACCCATTTGCTCATGCTTCGCTTTCTCACCGTGGGGAATCATAACTGACTGTCCCCTTTTAAATGTTTATACTCAATTGTGGAGACACTTACTGTTAAATTCCCCCATTATTGGGCACTCTATACATATATGTGAAGGTTATAGAGCTTGACTTCGCCTGGTAACTGTTTTATTCACAGCTCACCTTTCGCGTCTTCTGACTTGGAGGCATAAAGTTCTAAAGAAGCAAAATTTGCAAAACCCAAGGAACTAAATGGCATTGAGGTGGCCTACATTGCTCTTAAACCAGTAATATCATTCTGCATAGGACCTAAAATGCAGGGCTTATGATTAAACACCAAGCATATATTAAATTAAACCATCCCCCCCTTTAAAAGAAGAGGTTAAAAAACTGCATTAATCGTTTCAGGTATGAGAAACGGTATGATAATCAGCCTCGTTTGGAGTCTATCCTGCTGCGCATACGTGGTCCACTAATCCAAACGCAGCTCCTCTCCTGCACCTGAAAGCCCTCCTGATCCCGGCTGAATTCTAATGATTGAAATGAAAGGCATCAGCATGCCAAATCACATAATGGAAAATCCAGAACAAACGCTTCGACCCCCCTGGCCTTTACTTTCGCCGCACCACATCTTATTTGACTCCTTATCCTATCAGCAGAGGTGTAGACGAATGGGAACAAAAGTCAGATGTGCTTTATGCTTTGCATAATGTCTTGTTGTCCTTAATAGAGTACAAGGACTTGGAGTGACAGTGCAGTTTGCCGATATTCTTCATTGAAAAAAATATTGGTTAATAAGTTTGTTCCAAACGCGTATGGTTAAGGTCAGAATGACTGATGATTTGGATGTTTATCAAAGTAGCAGATAAATATTTAATCTCCTAGATGCAATCATAAACTTCTGAGGCTCTGAATCTAAATCATAAAGTGATTCAAATTTGGCCGATCTCCTCTTCAAGATATTCTCTTTGGGCAGAACGGACTTTTCTCTAGCCTAGCTGCACTTGTGCATCGAGGTGATCTCCCTTGGTGTGACAGTGAGCCTCAAACTTGAACAAGTTTGCAGATTGTCAAAAAACTTGTGCACGTGCCAACGTTTGAGTAGTTTGCATGAAAGTTGTACACAAAAGCTGATGTTTGCTCTCAGTTTGACATTGAGTCTCAGACATGCTTGTACAAGAGGTCAGAGTGGGAGGTCAAGAGAACAAGCTAAAAGCTTGTCAAATTAAAACCTTGCAATTATATGGTCACGGCTCACATGCAGTGCTAGAAATA